ATTATTATTATTATTATTATTATTATTAATATTATTATGATTACACATTGTAATGTCGTAAGGCTTACAATGAATTTAATTCGTGTAGCATCTTCCTGTTTCTTGAATTCATTCCTGATTTCATTTATCGTGTTAATGTTCAGCCTCGACTGGTTTATCATTGTTCCCTTAATATACAACATCGTCCACTTATGTGTTGATTTGATTCAGTCTCCGCTCCTTTGTTCACGTGTCCCCATGTCCGCGTACCTCCGTGTCCTCGTGTGATACGTGTCCATGTGTCTACGAGTCTCCATGTCTTCGGTAAATGCCTTCTTCAGAGGCTGTAGTTCCACACGAGATCCTTGATAATTCTTATGCATCTCTACTTCCCGCTGTTATAGTTTATCTGGAGTGTGCGTGTGAGGCGGTGGCTTGAGACATGGTGGTGATTGTGGTTGTGGTGGTGGTAGATGTGGTTGTGGTGGTGGTGTTGGTTGTGGTATCAAAAAGTACGATAATAACATTGTGATTGTAAGTGTAATGCTGGTTAGAAAGGACTCTAGTAATGGTGGTAGCTGGTTGAAAAGGACTAGTAATGGTGGTAGCTGGTTGGAAAGGACTAGTAACGGTGGTAGCTGGTTGGAAAGGACTAGTAATGGTGGTAGCTGGTTGGAAAGGACTAGTAACGGTGGTAGCTGGTTGGAAAGGACTAGTAACGGTGGTAGCTGGTTGGAAAGGACTAGTAACGGTGGTAGCTGGTTGGAAAGGACTAGTAACGTGGTAGTGTTGAAGGACTGTAACGGGTTGTTGAAAGGACTAGTAACGGTGGTAGCTGGTTGGAAAGGACTAGTAACGGTGGTAGCTGGTTGGAAAGGACTCTAGTGATGCTGGTCATTCAGAGATGAGATGCTTTTATGATGGAAAATCTGTGAAACATCGTAACAATTCATTAATATACTATTAGACGCTTCTCCAGTCAGTGGCGTTATCAGTACAATACAAGGACCATAATGTGAAGAACTATGTACAAAAGATGAGGTAATCAGTCCCTCAGCCTTAGAGTAACTGAAGAGCACCGAAGTCTTGAAGGAACTCGGAGCCTCAAGACTACGTTGTTACCTAGGAACCGAGTTCCTAGGTAACACCATCTCTAAGGCTGAGGGACAGATTACCTCATCTTTTGTACATAATTCTTCACATTATGTCCTACTGATAAAGCCACTGGATGGCGAAACGTTTACAAATACAGATACCCAGATGTTGCACATGTCTAATTTTTCACCTTGTCTGTATTGTATACCATTTATGAACAACTTTATCGAGTTATAAATCTCTGGACGAAACGTTGTTGTAGAAGATACTCACAATGGCTTGTTGAACCTCTACACCGAGGGAAACTTACATATTACTGACAGTATATAACAATGACAGTTACGATACAATGACAGTTAAACATGTATTTTATCAGAGCGAAATATTATAATGACCCCTTTTACGAAGTACAGATTTAGAAAGGAAATAGGAAAGTATTGGTTTGGAAATGTAATCGATAAGTAGTACAGACTGCCTAGTAAGGTAATTAAAGCTAAAACCTTGGTTAGCTCCAAATATAGCTTAAATACATGAGAGGGGTTGGATTTGAGTGGGACTTGCACACGAATCAATAGGGTTATCAAAGGTTATTCCTTAGGTAGCACTGAAAATGGGTTGGGGAATATTTTTGTTAGTGGGTTTGGGTTTGAGAAGAACCTGCTTGCTGCAGTATTCACCTTTTGTTGTGTTATGTGTTCTTCTCTTTGCACCTGTGTCCTTGTTACCTAGTCTCCAGTTCGTCGTCTCTTCCCACCTAAATATGAAGACGTTACATGAAAATGAAGACAAATGGTTCGGAGAACCGACAAATTCATGAGCACATGTGTCTAATTTGTTGATAAATTGTTGCACACGTGTCTAATTTGTTCAAAAATTGTTGCACATGTTTAATTTGCTTTTAAATTGTTGCACACGTGTCTAATTGATCATGTTAGAATGAGACACTTAACAAATGGATCTAAGAGACGAAAACGGCAAATGAGACACATGTAAACGAGCTGTGTATCTCTGCAACACAGGTGTTACACAGGTGTTAGACAAGTGTTACACAGGTGTCAGATTCATCAACTCGGTGTTACATACCTTTGATTAAACAGACTGTTAACACTCTACTCCCGTACCATATGGAAGTTTATCCCTGATTAAACTGACGGTAAAGAGACTGTAATATAACAGAAGGAATATAGAGAAGAACAATAAAAATAAGGGAGATGGTAACTGTGATGGTGGAGGGGGATAGTAGGATAGGGGTAAACAATAGTTAACCATCCACAGGACGTTACACTATCCTTTCATTGTATCATCACCCTATAAAAACCTTAAAATACAAAACTGTACATCTATAAGCCTTCTTTAGACATTGTAAATTATCCCTTTTTTAAGATCTAATGACGAAATAAACTCTGAAATATAGTTAACGTTTCAATTATTGGTAAGCTCGAGGAGGGAATAATGGTATTAGCACGTTATTTGTTTTTCCAAGACATATTTCACATCACACTTTGTTAGAGGCAGGAACCAAGGTATCTTCTTGGTACTTCCTCGAGGTGGTGGTTTCTTCTTGGTACTTCCTCGAGGTGGTGGTATCTTCTTGGTACTTCCTCGAGGTGGTGGTGTCTTCTTGGTACTCCCTCGAGGTGGTGGTGTATTCTTGGTACTTCCTCGAGGTGGTGGTGTCTTTTTGGTACTTCCTCGAGGTGGTGGTGTCTTCTTGGTACTTCTCGAGTGGTGGTGTCTTCTTGGTAATTTCGAGGTGGTGGTGTCTTCTTGGTACTCCCTCGAGGTGGTGGTGTCTTCTTGGTACTTCCTCGAGGTGGTGGTGTCTTCTTGGTACTTCCTCGAGGTGGTGGTGTCTTTTTGGTACTTCCTCGAGGTGGTGGTGTCTTCTTGGTACTTCCTCGAGGTGGTGGTGTCTTTTTGGTACTTCCTCGAGGTGGTGGTGTCTTCTTGGCACTCCCTCGAGGTGGTGGTGTCTTCTTGGTACTTCCTCGAGGTGGTGGTATCTTTTTGGTACTTCCTCGAGGTGGTGGTGTCTTCTTGGTACTTCCTCGAGGTGGTGGTGTCTTCTTGGTACTTCCTCGAGGTGGTGGTGTCTTCTTGGCACTCCCTCGAGGTTGTGGTGTCTTCTTGGCACTCCCTTGAGGTGGTGGTGTCTTCTTGACACTCCCTCGAGGTGGTGGTGTCTTCTTGGCACTCCCTTGAGGTGGTGGTGTCTTCTTGGCACTCCCTTGAGGTGGTGGTGTCTTTTTGGCGCTCCATCGAGGAGATGGTGTCTTCTTAGCACTCCCTCGAGGAGACACTGTCGCCTTGGCACTCCCTGGAGGAGGTACTCTCTTCTTGGTACTTTCTAGAGGAGGCACTGTGGTCTTGGCCCTCCCTCGTAACTGGAGTATAATTTTGAAGACACACACACACACACACACACACACACACACACACACACACACACACACACATGACAAATACACAGCATACCTCTGAGACCAGCTCATGTTATTACCTCTGCGTCGTCACCATGGCTGACACACGTACATGCACATCACCAGATGAGGAAGGAGGAGGAGGAGGGGAGGAGGGAGGAGGTGGAGGGAGGAGGAGAGGGAAGAGGAGGTGGAGGAGGAGGAGGAGAGGAGGAGGAGGAGGAGTGAGGAGGTGGAGGTGGAGGGAGGAGGAGGAGGAGGTGGTGGTGGTGGTAATGGTAGTGTATGGTAGTGGTAGTGGTAGTGGTAGTGGTGGTGGTGATGGTGATGGTGATGTGATGGTGGTGGTGGTGTGGTGCAAGGTGGAAAAGGAGGAATTGTTTTTTTTTTTTTCATTATTTTCTCTATCTGGGATAGGAACTATTAAATACTTGACAATGAAGTGATGAAAACAGAGAGAGAATGAGAGATATTGATAGAGAGAGAATGAGTGAGATAGAGAGAGAGATAAAGAGAAAGAGAGAGAGAGAGAGAGAGAGAGAGAGAGAGAGAGAGAGAGAGAGAGAGAGAGAGAGAGAGAGAGAGAGAGAGAGAGAGAGAGAGAGAGAGAGAAAGAGAGAGAGCAGAGTATGTTCTAAAGACAATAACAACAGTCCATTTGAATCCAGTTTCTCTACCCTCCTTTTATTTTTACAAGGATTTTATGGAGGTAGATAAACTCTCAAGGGAGGCATGGTAGAAGGATGGTGAAGGATGCAGGACACCTGGAAGGATGCAGGACACCTGGAGGGATGCAGGACACCTGGAAGGATGCAGGACGCCTGGAAGGATGCAGGACGCCTGGAAGGATGCAGGACACCTGGAGGGATGCAGGACGCCTGGAGGGATGCAGGACACCTGGAAGGATGCAGGACACCTGGAAGGATGCAGGACGCCTGGAAGGATGCAGGACACCTGAAGGGAGAGGGGGCAAACAAACCCCAAAACTCGAGGAAGGTTCAGGTATGTAAACATGCAGGCGGTGGGTTAGAGAAAGAGAAAGAGAGAAAGAGAGAGAGAGAGAAAGAGAGAGAGAGAGAGAGAGAGAGAGAGAGAGAGAGAGAGAGAGAGAGAGGGAGGTGGAAGCAGGCTGGAAGCGACAGATGGGGCGGGAAATAAATGATTTATGGGCTGCAGGTAAAGAGAGATACAGCAGTATCATTTATCGACGAGAAGTAGGTACATTTGAACTGTCAAAGGCCTGAACTAGATTTATATTTTTAATAACGAGCAGTTTGACGAAAAAATATATATATATATTTATATATTATGTAGCTCTATTGAATAATGAAAGAAAAAATGTATATATATATATATATATATTATATATATATATATATATATATATATATATATATATATATATATATATAACCAACTCATCATAATTAGCATTTCTCGGGTGGGATTTAAAAAAAACAGTAAAAAATAAAGAGATGAGAAGTTGAGGATAAGGAAACACCAGGAAGGGGAAGAGAGAAAATTGTATTCATGACCAAGGATGTACGCTGAGTGTCCACTAGCGGGCATGTTGTGGGTCCGCGCTACGGGAGACAGCGCCTTGTGTCGTATAGACCACTGATGTGGGTGTACAGGCTACGAGAACGGAGGGAGAGGAGGTACTTGTTTAGTGAGTATCGGTGAGTAGATAGGGTGTAGACAATACCAAGCAAAAAGGTAGAAAGGGGCCAGGGAGGAGAGGGGGGGCAGAGGGGGTGAGGAGGGAGGAAATGTCGAGTTGTGGTGGAGGGGTGGGGAGGGAGGGAGAGACAGAGAGAATGGGAGGGGGTTGATTATGGGGAGGGAGGGAGGGAGGGAGGGAGGGGAGATTTATGAGCCACAGTGTTGGACTACAAGAGGCCATCTTAGTATTGGAAACTAGAAAGGTTAGGCAAACTATGGAGCAAACGTCCACACATGATTAAAACTATTCTGTAATATTATTTAAAGCACTTAGTCAAAATCACAAAGCACTGTGACACTGGTCTTCCTGCCTTCTAAAGCGAGGCAGGGCAGACCGGAGAAGTGGAATATGTTCTGATACTGCGGCATGTACAAAAAAACTGCTCTCAAGGCAATCAAGTGGAGAGAGTCCACTTTGATGGGAACTTCGGAAGTGTGAGGTGCACTCTTGAGTGATGGGTGTGCAGACCTGCCGCAGGATATTCTCGCGGCCCTGGCCGCCTGCTGCATGCAGGCTGGTGGTGCGGCCCTGGCCGCCTGCCGCAGGCTGGTGGTTGCAGCCCTGGCCGCCTGCCGCAGGCTGGTGGGCCCCAGAATGGGTGGTGTGGCCCCGACGGCCTGTTGGTACCCGTGTGCCCGCCGGGGCCCGCCTCCTGGACCCCTGGAACAGCTGCCGCACCTGCAGGGAACTGGGAGGGACGAGGGGGAGGGGGGAAGAGAACTTGCGGGATACACAAGTGTCACAATCACCGCGGGTCAGGACGTCCAACAGCGTCCTTACTCAGGACGTCCACCAGCGTCCTTACTCAGGCAACTCCATGATGTCTTTTGAGCCTCATTATTTTTTTTAATAATGCAATACTGCAAAAAAAAAATTTTTTTGCAACACAAGCAGTCAAGTGTCAGATCCAGTCTGGAAAACAGAGACGGAAAAAAAAAACAGAGACCACCCAACGTAAAGTCTCACACACTGCTTGTTTAGCAACACTGCAAATGTCGTTGAACGTTCTGCATTATAGACGAAGGGCTGGTGAGGCAGGCACAGACGTGCTTGATCCCATAGGCGCTTGCCTCCGTTAAGGGGCGAGATTTGTGGAGGGGGAGGTGGTGTGGGTGGGTGGGGGGTTAAAAAAAGGGAGGGAATGTGTGGGGGGAAGATTCCGTTCTTCCCACCCCTCCCCCTTTTACCCGAAGCTGTCGAGGCTGGCCATTGATCCCCGGCGGGTGAGGGCAGGGAGGGAGACGAGGGAAGAAGTGCCGAAGAGTTTGTACCAGCCGATGACGATGTTGGTGAGGTCAAGGTCATCCAGCATGATCTGGGCCAGACCCATGAAGACCTTGCGACCCTCCATCCTGCCGTAGTCTCCCCACACCGTCACCTGCAACACGTCGACAGTCAGTCCTACACACGAACAATGACTCTTACACACAAACAACGAGTTTTACAATGATTCTTACAATGATTCTTACATGCAAACAATGAGTCTTACAATGATTCTTACATGCAAACAATGAGTCTTACAATGATTCTTACATGCAAACAATGAGTCTTACAAACAATGAGTCTTACAAACAATGAGTCTCACAAACAATGGTTCTTTCAAACAATGGTTCTTACAATGAGTCTTACAAACAATGAATCTTATACACAAAGAATGAGTATTACACAAACAATGAGTGCTACAAACAACGAGTCTTACAAACAGTGAGTCACTAACGTAAGACATTAGTGTGACTATCACCCTTCACGGGTGGAGAGCCTTGATGACTGTAAAAGGCTCTTGATCTAAAGCAGTGACGCTGCCATCTCCTTCCCTGGATCAAACCTGATCACATCCTATTTTCCAGCAGACCTCCTTCCCTTTTCATATACAGAAATTGTGGCCTGGTGGCTAAAGCTCCCGCTTCACACACGGAGGGCCCGGGTTCGATTCCCGGCGGGTGGAAACATTTCGACACGTTTCCTTACACCTGTTGTCCTGTTCACCTAGCAGCAAATAGGTACCTGGGTGTTAGTCGACTGGTGTGGGTCGCATCCTGGGGGACAAGATCGAGGACCACAATGGAAATAAGTTAGACAGTCCTCGATGACGCACTGACTTTCTTGGGTTATCCTGGGTGGCTAACCCTCCGGGGTTAAAAATCCGAACGAAATCTTATCTTATCTTATCTCAGAAAAAAGGAAGCAGAAGTAACTAGTTAGCAGTTGAAGGGAGAGAGAGAGAGAGAGAGAGAGAGAGAGAGAGAGAGAGAGAGAGAGAGAGAGACAGACAGACAGACAGTCTGTATGCTTCAACTTCCAACTAAAATCCTCATTGACTGAAGAGGGTCTCAATGGGAAGTCGAAATACAGTTTCATTTTACAAATGATATACATTTCTCGAGCTTCGTCTTAAGACTAAGTATCTGAACACTTTCTATCTAGGTTAATGGACTGATCACCCCAAAATCATCTCTCTACTTCTACTGTGTCCAGTGTTTGAATTGCCTGTGTCAGACTGAAGAAGCCTGCTGCACAGGTGAAACGTTTGTACAACAAAGAAACTGCACATAGGTTCGAGTCCCACGTGGGGGTATTAACTTCTCACTGACAAGTGTTGACCTCTCACTGACAAGTGTTGACCTCTCACTGACAAGTGTTGACCTCTCACTGACAAGTGTTGACCTCTCACTGACAAGTGTTGACCTCTCACTGACAAGTGTTGACCTCTCACTGACAAGTGTTGACCTCTCACTGACAAGTGTTGACCTCTCACTGACAAGTGTTAACCTCTCACTGACAAGTGTTCACTGCATTCTGATGCATTAACATAAAAGAAGACATTACAAGGACTAAAGTAAATAATCTATGGAAATATTGTCCACAACTCGCTGCTCGTAATAATGTTGGTAGAATTACCGACAATATATAAAGTAAAAAGACAAAAGTGCCAGTAATGTGACATTTTTATTGTTGCACTTCTGTCCTTTTACTTTACATATTGTCGGTAATTCTACCAACATTATTACAAACTGTCGGACACAGCAACATAATGGACATTTAATGGAGACGTTATATGGACATCCTTCTTCGTGCTCACAGCTATCCCAACAGTCACAACTTCCTACAAGACTGCTTGGCCGAGAAGGTGATCCCTAAGTCTACTCCTGCGCAACTCTCCAACTCCAAACACCTTTTCTCTCCAGGTACCCAAGCTTACTTAACTGAATGCGCTGAAGAACTTTCTAACATCGCTAAGGAAACCTTTGAGGCTGCAAGAAATATGAGGGCCAATTCTCAGCACAGTCACCACAGCCAACCTCCAACAGAAGGTCAAATTCAATCGTAAACTTCAGTACAAACCTCTGCACAAACAGTCGATGGAAGGAAATATGACGGGAATCCCTGATGAACAACCTATCGTCACGTACCTTAACTGACTATGAGAAACACACTGAGTCTGGGACTCAAATTTACCGTTAACATACGCAAACCTATCAACTCAACCTAGCTACCAGAAACCACAGACACAGTGACAGTAACTTCCAAAAGGTTATATACAGGGTATTCTCACTGCAGCTTTATGTGAACCTTGCCACAATGAGAATGTTACATTAGTTGCATTTTGTCATTTAATTTTCAACTCGCTGTTCACAAGTTACAGAATCAACCAAAATTGATACAATTCTTTCAGAAAGCCTATTTTTATATTCACATAAAAAGTATAAATATTCAGAATTTCTGAGTATGCATCATTAAAAATTTTTAATGTTATTTTTTCAGTGATAAGCATCAAAATTATATCTCAAAATATTTTAACATAATGTTGAAATGATCACAAATATATAATGTAAAATAACTAGGCTAGTTATATATATAATGTCAAACCGAATTGGTAAAACTTGCGATTTTGGCTTAAATAACAACGCTCTTCTTGCCGAATAAGGCAAGCGAAAATTTTTGTATGCAATAATTTCGCAAAATCATTCTGAACGTAACGAAAAAAATATATTTCATTGTCTTTGTTTATTATTACATTGTTGTAAACTTATCTAAAATATATTTAGTTGGATTAGGCTAAATTAAATTTCGCTTGTTATAATAAGGTTAGGTAAATTTTCTAAGGTTATTTTGGTACGAAACTGTTAATTTTTACATTAACATAAATGAAAATATATATATCTTTAAACATATAAGAGAAAATTTTAGAAAGGACTTAATTTTAAATGAGTTCTTGCTAATTGACCAGTTTTATCTATTCGGCACCACACACACACACACACACACACACACACACACACACACACACACACACACACACACACACACACACACACGCCTCACACACACACGCTCACACACACACACCACACACACACACACACACACACATATATAGCTACAATTTTGACTTGACATATGCAATCAGGAAATAAAGAGGAGGAGAGAGAGAGGAGAGAGAGAGAGGGAGAGAGAGGAGAGAGAGAGAGAAGAGAGAGACTGACCTGGAGGACACACCCCTGGTACCTCTCGTGGAAGATAAGTTGCTGCTGGTAAAGGGGGTCGAGGGTTCGTCTAGCTGTGGCTGTCTTAGCCTTGGCCACACACTTCTTCCCTGCTACCAGGTACACCTTCACGTAGGGAGCTGTAAACACAAGAGACAGTCACGACCTCTTACTTGAGAGTGCCAACACTTGTCCGTTATCTAAACCATTATATCACATCTGACACTATAGTGCCAAGTGCCATACCCAACTCTACAAATATATATATATATATATATATATATATATATATATATATA